GGGAGGGTGGGGCGTGCAGGTCTCCTCCTCTGGGCACCTCTGCCACCCCTACACCGTGTCTGTCTCAATGCACAAGACTTTCTCCTCTAGAACCCGGGCCATCACAATCATCTCCTGTCCCCAGGGCCCAACCCAATGTTTGGCAGAGATGAAATGCACACACAAAATTCCTTCAATCGGCCATTTTATGAGTGCTTAATTAAGGGCGTCGTTCTTGTCTCTCAGGTGCTCTGCTCATCTCAGTTTAGTTATGTTAATTAGCTCAAGGGAAAATGTAACCACACGTGGCTGGGTTGGCTGCATCCTGTTTGACAGGTTCTGGATTAAGCTCAGCACCTCCCTCAGGAGATGCCTGCGATACCAGGAGGGAGAGTGCAGTTGTCTGAACAAAAGCTATCCTGAGTACTAGAAAAACAATACATGATCTATCTCCTACGAGCTCTCTTTTTTCCTGAGCAGTTACTATGTAAATAGCATCCCATGAGCCTCTGTGAGATAACATGACATACAAAATATTATATCTTCTCTCAAATACATTTTTTATTCTTATAGTATGTTTGATGAGACAAGAAGGTGGCGTAAGCAATGATGTGAGTTACATGATATTCACGAAAACAGATACCACGTGTTATTTTAAGAAGAATTGCTTAACGATAATAAAAATTCAATGAGTCTCAAGTCTGGGTACTTTTAAAAAATACAGGGCATCCCATCAAGATGTGTGTACTGGAAATATGATGGTAAAAACAAACGAAAAAGAGAGGACTGGGAGGAGCAAACAGCAAGCAAGTGAGAGGGGCCAGGTGACCCAGCTGGAGCACCTGGGTGACCAGCACTGGGAGTGTTCCGTTAGAGGGAACCTGGGAACGAACACACTAAGAACTCTTAGCTTCTGGTCATGGAACATCAGAAAGTAACTGCTCAAGAAGAATATGTAAAGTTAAACAGTTTGGAAGAAGGAGAGAAGCAGGCTTGGTCATGTTATATTGCATCTAGGCAAGAGTCAATATTTTAAAAGCAAAAAAAGTGCACTGTAACTCTCAGAAAGAAATATATTTAGAATGACACTATTATTCTGTTACTTCAGCAAATATTTTCTATTTTTCTGACATTATACTAGATAACGGGAGTATATAGATGATAAAGACCTGGTGGTCCCTGGCCTTGAGGAACTCACTGTAGGGGGCTAGGGTATACAGAGTCAACTAAGTTTACCCCATGGTAAGGGCTCAGAGATGGGGCCAACGCATCCCAGGGAAATTTTATAATTGTCATCAAACTAGCACCCACAATAGTTGTCAGTATGGGTTCTGTTTGTGCATTTGTTTGCATGTTTGTTTTTCAAGACTAGGAACACTCAACATATTTGACCAAAAAGAGGACTCAGTGAAAACAGGGAATGGGTGTCATCTGAATTAGGCAGTTTTTAGTCAGTTTATCACTGTTGATTTGTCTGATAAGCAGGCTGGGTGCTGGCCTCTATCACTTCACAGATGCGTGTGCCAACTCTGTAAGAGGATAGTGAAGGAGTTTTGGGTCAAACTGCACTTTCCTGATGGAAAGTGTCCCATCTTCCAAAGGTAGAGTTCCACCAAAGTAACTGAAAATGCCAGGAGTGAAGCATGAATTTCAGAAGCAACATGGTGAAAGTCGGGCCAGAGAACGTGGACTGGCAAAGAAGTCAGAATCATTTGCTCATTTGAGAAGTATGGAAGAGACAAATACTGTAGGAGAGAAGAGGAACCTCTAAGACAGTCAGACTTAATGACCATACCTCATTGGGGTGAATTGGAAGTGGGACTGGAGGCTGAGAGTATAAAGAATATATGGAACTTGGGATCTACAGCATTATTTTTGTAAGTGAAGAGTATCTTTTGATCACCTTGTATCTTTAGAATAATCTCTGAGAAGAAACTACATTATTATTATCATCACAATGTTCAAAGGCTAATGTTAAAAAATACAGGAAATGAGTGTCCTATCCAATTTGTTGAGCAAAGGGAGGTAGAACAAAGATGCAGACCATCTCCTTACCTCCATTACTATGCTCTCTCCAGAGTACCACACTGCGATAGAAAACTCTGCACAATTATTTGTATTCTAGACATTCATGGGTGGAAACAAACACAATCACCAACTAACCAACCAACCCACTAACAACCAAACCAAATATCAACCAACCAACCAGACACACAGTCCTTAGTTGGACCTATTCCATTTCTGCACCATACCTGGCAGCCAGTAGTTCACCCAGAAACATTTCAATTCTATGAACTTCGTTTTTCTTTTCAGTAATGTACTGTTTACTCTCTCCTGAGTTTTCTGAGCTTAACCTCTCATTCATTTCATGGATCCATAAGTTCAGTTTTCTGTGCTGATCTTCAAAGCTAAAGAAAAGAAAAACACCATAGAAAAATTTTTATGTTCTCATTATAATAATAAATTCTAATATCTGAGGCCACCATGTCTATGATGATTAAGAGCTCATGGATTTTCAAGTAGAAGAAAACTCAACAATAAGCCCATTCAAATTATCGCTTATTTCAGTAAAAACGTGACAATTCGTGAAAATTTCTCTTGCAATCCAGGCAAAAATGGATCACCCTATCTTGCTGAATTGATTACTTGGTAATCATAATTGATAATTAAGAGCAAGATTACTTTCCCTGGAAATGTGCACTTGACTTTTTGGGTGTTATTACAAAGATCCTGAACTGGGGCCAACGGATAAATGAGGCTGTGGAAGCCCTGTGGGAAAAAGGGAATATCTCCTCTGTGTCTTTGAATCCTATGGGATCTGAATACAGCACGAGAGCACAAGGGCTCTAAGTTTTGAAAACAGTAAGTTCTCTGAGAAACCTGGACAAGGGTCAGGCAAATTACTCTACACCAGAAAGGCATTTGGATTATACTGACATCTTTTCCCCTAGGAACAAGGTTCCCCCTCTCCGTTCTCATTTTACATTCACCCAAGTTGACTAACTTCCTGACTGGAATGCTGATGCACAGAAATTCAGTAGGTGTTTTCTGCCATGACTCCAACCCAGGAGAAGTAGACACAAGAAAAGACTTAGGTAATATAAAACCTGGATGTCAAAGCTCTAGTATCTTGAGTTGGCCAAACAGACAAAAAAAAGAAAAAGAAAAAAAGCATGCATTCCTGTAATTTACAGTTACCAGGGAATATAATTCCTTTATTTTCTATGGAGAAAATAAAACCAAGTGATAGCATCATAGTTTAAGCAATCAGTTTTTGTACTAGTGTGAATCTGTAATTATGGTCAAAACTTTAAAATTTAAAGTCACAATTTCAAAGATTTGTTTATTCACAATGGCTTTTTCTCTAAGTCACTGAAAACATTCTGTGGCCCTGCCGGGCGTGGCTCAGCGGTTGAGCGTCGACCTAGGATCCAGGAGATCACTGTTCAATTCCCTGTCAGGGCACATGCCTGGGTTGCAGGCTCGATCCCCAGCAGGGGGCACACAGGAGGCAGCGGATCAATGACTCTCTCATCACTGATGTTTCTACCTCTCTCTCCCTCTCCCTTCTTCTCTCTGAAATCAATAAAGACATATTAAAAAAAAAAAAAAAGAAAACATTCTGTGTATGATAAAATCTACCTGTATCAAAACAACCTACCTCCCAAGTTCCAAAGCACAGTCTTGAAGAGCCTGTTTGTCTTTGAGGCATTGTTTCAGAAATGCCTGAAACTCTTCATTGGCCTTTGTAATCTGCTCCTGAATGCTACTGACAATTTGTTTGGGCAGATGTGCATACAGAGTTTGTCCTTCCTGAGTCACCGCATCAAGCTTGCTCTGTCCGTCACTGACCGAGTCCAAAATGCTCTGTTTCAGGAAATAAAAGTAATAGAAAATATTTGCTATGATTCAGAGACCCTAGTGCACGGGAGCACTAATTACAATTCTGAGCTGAGAGAGTAGGGCCCCAGCCTAGTCCAGGCTCCACCTAATCACACGGTTAGTGTGCGATCTTCTAACTGCTCAACTGCCTCCACCGCTCCTCCTCCTCTGATCCGCCCTGCGCACAATATCCTGACTGCAGTTCCCTTCTCTCCTTCGTGTGCGGCTCTTCTTTGGAAGACCATAAAGGCAACGCCAGTGCTTGTACCTGAAGGTCACGGAGCTTCGCCTCCAGAACTTTGCTGTCACCAGTTCTGTCTGATGATTCTTTTGCTGCTGCCTTTATTCCAGAGAACCATTCCTGGAACTCCTGCATGGACTCTGGAAAGTAACAAAAATGAGAAATGCACCCAAACATTGAGTGAGCTTCCAGGGTTACTGCCATGAGTTAATTCTGGCTTTCGGCCCATTGCATTGTGCCTTACAAAATATTCCAGAAAGAAAATAATAATACAGAATATGACACATATGGCACAGTGTATGTAATCTACAGCCATCATTGCTCACGGCAGAATCAAGAAATTATCCCAGAGAGGACTGCAAAGAAATTTATACCCCTTAAATGTCTGATTTCCCTTTATGTTTCTTTCTTTTGGTAAAGAAAGATAATGAATTGCCTGACTGTGGAATAGTGCAAGGGGAATACTTTAGGGGTGTTAAAGCCCTTTTGTGGCGCAAGGAGGAACCTCCTCCTCTTTTCACCAGCTGACATGAGAGTCATCAGAGCACAGGCCCCGCCCCACGGGAGGCCGAGTCGGGTACACAGGTGGGACAGCACTTCCCTGAATTCCATGGCTGCTGCTGCTTCATGCTCGCCTAATGCCCAAGTCACTGTCACCTCATCAGAGCAGTGGAGGTGATTTTCCACACAAATGAGCCATGGGTCAAAAAGCCAGGTGCAATCCCGAATCATCACAACCCTGGCCTCCCACTTCCTCGGGGGGAAGGAGGAGCTCTGCGTATGGGGAGGCCCAAGCGTAACACTCCACTGCCCAAAGCCAGTGCACAAATGAAATGGGCATGATATTCTTCTGGAAAGTTTTGCAAATGTTTGCTGGCAGTGTCTACGCAGCATTTGGTTTGGATTCTTTCTTGTACACAGACCATTCATGCGAAGGCCTGCCAGGGCTCACCATGGAAGTGTTTTTCCAGGGACTCCTGAAGGGCGGCCTGCGCTCTGGAGCACAGCTGGCTGGCAGCTTCATGCTTCTTCGTCAGCCCGGTCAGGGCGCCACCCAGGCGCTCCAGCTCCGCCGAGTGGTACTTGCGACACAAGCTATTGAGGTTTTCTTGGGTGGAACTGATGTTGCTTTGCTGGCTTTGAAGTTCCTTTTGTATTTCCTATAGAATAAAAGTGTGACATGAAGGAAGTTTATCAAGTGCAAGAGAAATATTCCATCTACTCGAGGATGGCGCTTTTTCTGGAAACTGATGCTATCAGAATCCACTCAGGAATGTATACATTTTTGTGGGATTGCTTTTTTGAGTGTTTGTGATTTGTCTGTGCTGATTCTTGGTGAATTTTGCCCAGTTCTTGGGAACAACTGCAAACAGCTGTTGAGAGGTAGCTAGGATTTGAGTTAGAGTCCAGGATTTTAAACAAATTGAATAGATCTTTATGGATTCCAGCTAGGAGCTTGGGTTTAGTCAGTTGATTAGAAACTACTAATGGAATCACCCTTCTAAGTTCACATTATTTAGAGGACCACAAGGGTCACAGGCCACAACAAAAGCAGGATTAGTTAATTAAAATATAGATGTCCTTAGTCTCAAATACAGTAAGAAAATAAATATGCAAAAGAGAACAAATATTTTTGTTGAAAAGTCAACTCAACTCACAAGCTTTATAGAAAACTGATCAGGAATATCATCTATGAAAATGAACATACTGACATAAAAGTGGGATGTTTTCTCGATTAAAAAGATATATATCCTTGGAGGGGGGCAAGTGGAGGCTGGAGGGGATCAATGGGGCAAAAAGGGGACATCTGTAATACTTTAAACAATAAAGAAATATATATATATATATATATATATATATATCTTTCTGTAGATGAAAGCAGTCATACTAACCAATAAAAATAAGTGCGGAAAAATTGTTTGGCATTCAGGTTTGAAAATTCATGCACATTCAAACACTTCTATGCATGTCACCCTTTTAATGATAGTAGGAATAGTAATAGTACTAATAGTAATCATTGTGGCCTATGAGCAGGCCCTAAGCAATGCATGCTTTCTGTTTTTAGGTTACTCACTGTGCACTCAGTCCTTTACTGGTTACTTCCTTGGCTGTGTCCTGTGTTAATATGGGTAACTGACAGCAGAGATGATAGTGTGAGTCTAGTCACCACAAAGCAGGAGAACCAATATTCCCACTGAAGTGTAAACGCTTCATGAGAGTTTGTTACCTACCTTTACCTTCTTCAGCCCTTCACACGTCTCCGTCTGGGCACAGTTCTCTAAGGATTCTTCTAGTTTTGTCAGCCAGGCTGTGATGTCGTTAACAAAGTTCTCCACTTGCGTACTCTGAGCCCGGAAATCTTTCAGAGTTCCTTTTGCTTCTTCAGTGATTTCTTTGGCATGCTCCAGTTTCTGCCTCAGGTCTGCTTCTATAAACTAAACAGAAATTGAGATTTCATTAAAATCTGTGAACACCAGACATTCATTTATGGGGAATTCCGTAGCTTAAGCGTCAAATAAAACCAAAGCAACACAAACCACATAAGCCTCACTGTGGATGCTCATCCAATTTTTCTAAGAAGCAAAATCAGTGGGTACAAGTTGCCAAACATTTTAAGTGGTGGGGAAATGGAAAAAGTAAGGGTTACAGTTAACATGGGATGTGAAAGTGACAGTTTGACCGAGGTTCCAGGGAACAGGCATGATCATATTTCAAAAACAGAGCTAGTCTCATGCAGGGTTGTAAAGCAGGTGACCGAGAACCAGCTCCTTGCTCTCCCTGGGAAACACACATTTTTGCTCTGATATAACCACTACTTTGGACAAAACCACCATAGGATTTCATCCTAAAGCACTTTCCTTTCTGTCTCCCATTTTAAATATTCAGGGAGGCTAGTTCTCTGGTCCCACAGATAACAAAAGGACTTAGATTCATGATAAATTGCAAACAGCTTCAATTCCACAACTAAAACATCCAGGACCATTGAATAACCAAAACTTTGAACTCGAAGTTAACTTAAAGTTAAGGCGTTTTTCTTGTCCCAGCTCAGATCCGCTGCAAAAGGCAAGCCCACCGTGGAGAAGGGGGCCAAGTGCCTCTTTGTGTTTCTTTCCACTTTATTTCTGTTGCCTCACCTTGCACAGCTCTGAGCCCTGCAGGCTGGACAGGTAGGAGGCAGGGGAGGGAAATGGCATCTGCTTTCTAGGCCTGATGACATTTCCCATTCTCTCCTCTCACAGGCCTTGATCTTGGGGTTTTCTGAGACTGCCCTCCCTTCTGTGGCGTCCCAGTGAAATGCCCGAGATGCAGGCAATGCACTTCTCTCTGGCTCTTCACTTTCTCCTTCCACAGCCTGTGGGAATCTCTTTCACTTCTTGCTGCTGAGGCCTGTCACCTCCCAGAAAACTTTCTGAGATAACTTGAGATGTCACATATGGATGCTCTTCTTTCCTTTTCTCTTATAATTCACCTCTAGCCCAGACGTCACACTCTGGCATTTACCCCCAGATAACTATGAGATGCAGGCTACTCAAAACAATAAAAACATATGCACTTTAATACTTGAACAGAAAGAATTTTTTTGAGATAGGGAGTCTAGCAGATAGCAGTCATTACAAACTTGACTGAGTGCCTACCTGGAGGTCTGGCGGTGTTTCCGGATTTTTAGTTAATTCTTTTAGATCATTAACTTTAGAATGAAGGTCTTCCAATTTCAAGGCTTTGTTTTTGACTTCAGACTGCCAAGAAAAAGACGAAGGGGAAAAGCATAACTAACCCAAACACCCACATGGTATATTTGGCATTTAATAAATTCCAAGAGTTAACTGTCAAAATGCCCTGATGTTAAGCCAGGAAAAAAAGAAAAAAAAAAAGCCTCTTTTTCATTTTCGGATCATTGTCATTATTTATGGCTGTGGAAAAAAGTCCCCATTCACTTTCATTTGGCATGGGAGGGAGTGTGTGGAACTTTCTTCCTTCCCACCCTCTTTTATTGGGGAAAAAAAAAATGCTCCTGGAACAAATTAAACAGTAACAAAAAGTCTTGAGTCAGTGGGGATTTTTAATAGCTAACTGTCATTTATTCATTAGCACGGCCATCCCTGGTTACCATGGCAGCATGACACTCTTGAGGAAGCATTTCAAAGCAAGTACACATCGGAAGTGCCTAATAACTGCCTGCTACAGGCAACAGACAAGACACCTTTCAAATAAAAATGCAAAAGATGTTCAAACGGAAATCAGGTTAATTAGGAGATTGACGTCTAATATTTTGCCTTGTTGGTTTTTTTCCCCCACTAACACAAAAAGAAGAAAGAATAAATAACCAAAGAATCGTTACTGAACAACTTAGAAACTTCATTAGTTATTTGGGTCCACAAAGGAAGAGTTAAATATTACACTTTGGTGCTTTGTGGACACTAACAAACCTCCTGATGCCTTCAATCCAGAGGGTAATTTACTTACCCAGTCAGATGTCATGAACTAGCTGTCTGGACAATGAAGAGGGCGGAGGTCACGCCCACACACCCACTTCATTTCCTGCTCTGCACCCGCAGTGACATTCTCAGGCGCTGGGCTGAAGCCAGCTCACTGATTTTATTGGCTGGTGTGTCGCATAAAAGCCATCTCTGAGTGACAGAACTGGACATATGAACATGGGGTGATGCCCACTGGATCCCTGGATCCCGGAGCTCAGTGGTGGGTTTAAGGACTGACTCTCCGACACAAGGCCCTGATTTGTAGCACTCGCCACCATTTCGAGTTATAACGTGATGTCACTGCTCACGCAGCTGGAGAGCTCCACAGCTCGCACCGTTCTACAGTATCCCACACGCAGATACAGTAAACGTCAGCTCGAGAGCCCAGGCAGCACTCAGATGAGAATAATCACCAGGAAGTTTTAAGTTTTGAGGGTTCATTACCTTTATTTTTAAAAACAATTAGTTTAATTGTAATTTTCTTACAATTAAATTCTTAATAATGGTTGTGCTTCACACTGGCTCACAAATTTTCTGAAAATACAATAATTGCCTTTTGTGAGCAGGTACAAGCCCTATTCAAGCACATGCCACACCCAACTGGAGCTGCAATGTTAATTTTTTTTTTTAATCCTTTCCCTAGGATATTTTTTCTGTTGCTTTTCAGAAAAAGTGGAAGAGAGAGAGAGAGAGAGAGACGTTGATGTGAGAGAGACACATCGACTGGTTGCCTCCTGCATGCTCAGGGACACAGATGGAGCCTGCAACCAATGTACATGTCCTTGGCTGGAATTGAACCTGAGACCCTTCAGTCCAAGGGCCGACGCTCTAACCACTGAGCCAAAGAGACTAGGGCTAAAGTGGTAATTTAACATCAAAGATAATTAAAGGGACTGTGGTATCCCTTCCTTGACTGTACTTTTTGTCTGAATAATTTCCTCTACTTCTGTTTGCCCTTAAGAATAGGAATAATTTCTAGAACATTCCCTGGGTCAAACACAGTTGAATAACTTAGGTAGGTAATACAGATGATTAACTATGTTTTTCAGACTACAGTCATTCATTCACGTATCTGTCATGCTCCACATGTATGCCAGGCACAATGCTGGGCACCCAGGCAAACAGTGGTCAGCAGTCCCGTCCTCACCAAAAGGACAGTCACTTACGTGCTTTGTGAAACAGATTACCTCTTGTCACTCTATCGCCCTTTACCTTTCTTCATTTCTCACTGTAGCCCAATTACTACTTGACGTTTTGCACATAATACAAACTGTAATGTAAATCACGCAAATACCATGAGGGTAGAGACTTGGACTGTTTCACTATTATAGTTCCAGTCTAAACCAGTGCCTGACATATTTTAGGTGCTCGTGAAGAATCTGATGAGTGAAGGAATAAATGAATGTGAAAATGGGAATAAGAGGAGGTTAAGATAAATCGGTGATTGGAGCTTGAGAAGGCCGCTTTCTGTGGAAGCCGCTGGCACTCAAGCTCCGTTCTCTGAGAAGGAACTGAAGAGCCCAGCAGCTGCCCTGAGGGCTCAGTGCAGGGTTGCTACTCAGTAAATATTCTGTTCAAATGAAGAAAAAGAGGTCCTAATAATACTGAATTTCCAACACTTTTACTTTGGTTTTCCAGTAGGAAGATGCCATATTCTCAGATGAACGGACAAAATGATAGGTTTACTTTCAAGTAAATAGCAAAAGATAGTTAAGAGTTTGATTATACTCATGTGTCTCGAAAGCAGGCATGAACTTTGAGAGGACGTATGTCCTGTTTCGTAACTTACCTCGAGCTCCTTCAGGAGCCCCTCGGCCCTGAGGCTGTCGCCCAGGTTGCTGACGCGCTCCGCCAGCTGTGGCACGGAACTGCTGGACCACCCTTCAATCTCTTCCTTACTTGAGAGGACATCGGCCCACAGGGACAGGCTCACCTTCAGCCTGTCTATGTTTTCCTCAATTCTCTCTGACACCTGGGATAGAAAATGGAAATCATATCATTAGCAGTCTGAGGCTTTAAATAAATGCTCCCCCTCTCCAANGACACCTGGGATAGAAAATGGAAATCATATCATTAGCAGTCTGAGGCTTTAAATAAATGCTCCCCCTCCCCAAATTACTAAAATGTCAATGCTTCCTTAATCAGAAAATTACATTCTAACCGAGAGGGAAGCCAAGTTTTACAGAAATTATTGTCAGCTGACCAGTGCACCGAACTCAGTGTATGGAAATGCTATTACATAAACTGTTTCTGTCATTAGAGAGCTGACTGAATTTCTGGGACATTTGACTTTTTTTATAAATTGGAAAACTAGCTACAACAGGCCTACTATAATATAACTCACTCTAAGGTTGAACTTTATAAGGTAGGGGTCCATATAGGGCAGTATTGTGTTTATTTTTGAAAGTGACTCAATAAGCCCATTTATTTGTAATGCTGATATATAGAAATAGACATGATTAGACTTGAACATATTTATAAATAAGTAAATATATAGGAGATTAACCAACTTTGCATGCTTATAGTATTATTGCTTAATATTCTTTCTATAATAAGAATGCCCTTTAGAAAGTGGGGGAATATAAGGTTTTTTGAAGTCTCCAAATTATTTGGTTATAGTATGCAAACATCAATGTCTAACTTAAGTAATTTGGCTTAAGTAAGGGAACCCACAATAGGGTTAACTTCTGAGCCTAGATAGTGATAATAGGAGCCAAGAGAATCACTGGGTGTTTTGAGCTGGAAAACACTGTAAAACGTGCATGGATTGAGATATAGAGTTCCCGAGAGATCAAGAGACTTGTCCTGTGGTCACGTAGCCTGGAAATGACAGAGGAAGAACTAAAATCCAAAGATATGAACTACAACTCCAATGTTTTTCAATGCAAAATAGTTTTCTTACTTTAAATTATTATATCTTATGGCCTAATAGTCTGTAGGATGTTTATAAATTATTCTTTTATTTTTACTCATAATCCCAGAGTTTTGAGAAGGCAGAGTTATAAATTTGTTATGATTGAAGCTGCCAAGTAAAATTCCAGAAAACCTGCCAATAAGCTTTAACAAAATAAAGCCATTTTTTACTATTTGTAAACTTTATGTAAACATTATTTTTCTTCCGAATATCATATTTGCATTTAGCACTAAAAGTTAAAAATATAATTCACATCTCTTACTAATCCTTTAACCCAAAACGAGATTCATAAATGTGAATATTAAACTATTCACAGAAGTCTGGGTGATGAGCTTACATCCAGCCATCTGTCCACAGTGCTCTCCATGTCCGTTTTCACCAAGATGAAATCACCGCTGTGAATTTTTTTCAGCTCAGATAACAACTGTTTTCCTTTACTGGTAAAGTTATCCAATTCTTTCTGCTCATTACACATTTCATTCCTGGCAGTTTCATGCTGTGAATATAAATGTTTCCTTAATTAATAAAATCATCAATGATAAGAGTTTAAAACCATCTGCATCCAAGAAATTTAATTCTTGGATGATCTGACGCAGAAACCAGGGATAGTAATAAAATACAAATATATACTATAATTTTCTTGAATTGTTAGAATCCTAGGATATCAGTACTCTTTAAAAAAAAAGTTGAACTTATTATGAATTATCTACATCTAACTGTACTGTCAAGGTATGTGTAGAAAATGCATTATGAGTAAAAAAAAACCCAAAAAGGTCTACTAAAGTGTTCTACTAAAATAAATACATCTTGAATTATTACCTTGGATAAAGCCCATTTAAGATCCTCCTCATCTTTTATGGTCGTTCTCGTTACAATCACATTGCTGGCATTTTCTAGAATTTTCAATACAGCTGACTTCAAGCTCTGATATTCTCTCATTAAGTCGATAAGCCCACAGCATTGACCCTGGCTGCAAGGATCAAAGAAAAGACATCATTTATTGTCATGTATCAGGAAAGGGAAGAGTTCCCTATGGTTGGGCCGGATGTATACACACATAATAACAGATGGATGCTGGGCTCAAGAGGAAACCATGTCTATACCTACTGTGGTCAAAAGAGTGTTGTTCAATCTTACTTAACTCTAATGTCCAGAATATTATCATGAATGAAGTGCATACAGCCATTAAAACAAAATCTGTGACCTCAGTGACAAGCAACGATGCCACATATGTTCTGGATAACTCAGACTTATGTACATAGCACCAAATTTTTGCTTTTTAGTTTTTGCATTATTTAATTATTCATAATGGTGTGTATTGAGGGGAAGCAAAACAAAACAAATAAAGGAAAAAAACTGCCCAATAATTAAAATACATACAAGGCTTCCTTTTCTATTTCAAACACTCAGATTTTCATTGACTATGAATCCCTCGAAAATTCTCAAGGTCAGAAGATAGTTTTTATTTACAGGAGCCAGATGCCTTTGAACAAGCAATTCTACTTCTGGGAGATTTTCCAAAGAAAGAGATGTACTGTGACACTTAGGTAAAATTATATTCTCCACACCATTATGCATAATAGGCGAAGAAATAGGAATAACTGCCATGTTAAAATGGCCAATAACTGAATAAATACTAATACATTCTTATAATTGGGTACTGTGCAATCACTAATAAAGCACAATTTAGGAGAATGTTTAATAACACAGAATAAAGTTTGTGCAATGTGGTTTCATTAACAAAAGCCTGCATCAATTGTCTACAGTATATAATGTCCTCTCAATTTTGTTTGAAGGACCTCTTTTATGTCATGCAAGGTATTATTTTTTCACGTATATAAAATACCCAATTATTTCAGGACTATTTATTGAAAAGACTATTCTTTCTCCATCAAATTGCCTTTGTCAAAAATCAGTTAAGCATGTCCATGTGGGTCTATTTCACTCTATTTGTTTCACTGGTCTCTATGTTTACCTTTAGCCAAAGCCACGCTAAAACCAGAGACTGTGGGTTCTCCAATTCTTTTCCAGAATCGTACTGTTCTAGGTCTTTTGCTTCACATATAAATTTTACAGTCAGCTTGTCCCTTTCTACAAATAATTTTGCTGGGATTTTGATTGGCATTCTATTGATACAAAAATGACTTCACTAAAAAGAAAATAATCCCCCTAAAATGGCAATTTGAACGGGCCAATTTGAATAAGAGATAGAGATGGCAAATAACATCAAAATATGCTCAATATCATTAGCTTTCAGGATAATAAAAATTAAAAACAGTGAGATATCTCTACACATCTATTATAACGTCAAACAGGCAAACAAATAAAAACTCAGCAACATCCAGTGCTGAAAATGATGTGAAACAATGGACCCTCTCACATATGGCTAGTATGGATGCAAAATGGTACAGCTACTTTGCCAATTTCTTACAGTTAAATACATATTTACCATACAACCCAAATTTTCACTTTTAAGTATTTACCCAAGTGAACTAAAAACTTACTTACACACACAAAATTAAACACGAATGTTAATAGATGCATTATTTATAATCATCCAAACTGGAAAGAATTCACTTATATGCCATTTTCAAAAAGAAAATACCGTGGCCCAGCTGGTGTGGCTCAGTGGTTGAGTATCCAGGAGATCGCGGTTCGATTCCTGGTCAGGGCACATGCCTGGGTTGTGGGTTCGATCCCCAGTAGGGGGCGTGCAGGAGGCAGCTGATCAATGGCTCTCTCTCATCACTGATGTTTCTATCTTTCTCTCTCCCTCTCCCTTCCTCTCCCTGAAATCAATACAGATATATTTTTTAAAAAGAAAGAAAAAAAATACTGTGGAGACAGAAAACTGATCAATGGCTGTCAGAAACTGGGAGTGAGAGGAGGGACTGACTACAATGAGATGAGAAATTTTTTCAGGCGGTGACACTGTTAATATGAAATTTGATAGTTATGACAGTTACATAACTGTATGAGTCTATCATACAGTTTAAGGATATACATTTAAAAGAGTGAATTCTACTTTATGTCAGTCATACCTCAGTTACAAATAAGTACAATAAAACAAAATAAAAAGGAATCAGAGGTGAAGACTCCCATGGTAACACTTAGTAACTTGGCAATTCCTACTTTTAAGCACTGAATTTCACATGTAATTGTTATCTCAAAGCAACTTCCCCAATCAAGTTCTGTTGGACTAAATTTTTATCGCTACTGAAGAGACCCAGAATACTAAAGATGGCAGGAGATAATCAATTCTTGATCACACCCACGCAAATCAACAGGCAATAGCCCAAAGTCACAAAACAGAGAGAAGTTAAAAACAAAATCTGAGAAGTCTCTGACTTACTTTTCATGAATCAGCTTTTTGGTATCATCCCAGGTGACCTCTAAGCGATTTATCTCCCTGTCCACTTCAGGCGCAGAGGCTACATCCTTCTGAGCAATCTGCTTAGCTTTGTCTTTCAGCCAACACAGTTCATGCTCATGGGAATTCAGCTCATCTTCTAACTGATTGAAGACTCTCAACCTGTGAATTGAGATGTTATTTTACTAAAGGTAGTGAACCAGTATTTCCTCTCCATAAAGCACACGTAGAGAGCTAGAAAACTTTTAACATAGCAGTGGAATTAATGTATGTCAACTGACAAAGATGCTTTTAAAGTTAACTTTACATACTTCAGCGTGTACCTCACACAACACTCAAAGCCACCCTCACTACTCACCGTCAATCTTCTGTTAAGTATGTATTCTCTTCCTACTACCCTTTGAGGGCAGAAGACTTGTAAAACTAGGGGCTGACCTTGTAGACAAAGTTGGTGGGTAATTATTGCAGGCATTGGTATGAAATTATTTTGCACCCTGAGGTCAATTTCACATAAAATAATATTTAAGGAACATAGTTGTTTCATAAAATAAAAATAGTTTCACCAAGCTCCTCAATAAATACATATCTTAAAAACTTAAATTATATGCTTTATTGAAGATTACCATGAGAAAATGTTCATTTTTTGTGTGTCCCTAGAATGCTACTATTTGAGTATTTGTGAACAGTGGCTATATAAAGGCAGCCACTGATTCTTCATTCTTGCCTTTTAGTTTAGTGCTGTAGAGTTTATAAAGTGAATATGTAGGCATTATCCCACTTAATGCCCCAAACATAGTGGCAGCTTGTCACCTTTCCAAGCTCCAGGGGTATCATTTCCATTCCACAGCATTTTCTGCCCACATCCCCTGTACTCAATCTCAGCAAATGAGTTTGCTCCAGTCTTTTTAGATTTTACCACCAGATACAAGTCTACTTGAATCTTCCTTCCTCCTTGGCCTTCATTCTTGTTACAGAACTTGAGTCCCTTCTCCTATCAGTTAAAATTTGCTTAAAAATAGACAGTATGAACTATATAATCTATTGTAAATAAGATTTCAGCCCTAGCCAGTTTGGATCAGCGGTTAGAGCATTGGCCCTCAGACTGAAGGATCCCCAGGTTTGATTCGGGCCAAGGGCACAGACCGCAGTTATAGGTGTGATCCCAGGCCCTGGTCAGGGCACATGCGGGAGGCAACCAATCTCTCTCACATTGATGTTTCTCTCTCTCTGTCCCTTCTACTCTCTCTGAAAAGCAATGGAAAAAATATCCTCAGGCGGGGATTAAAAAAAAAAAAAAAGATTTCAGAGTGGCTTATACATAACCCTTAGGAAAATCCTTAAGGAACCCAAACAAATTTTAGGACTTTTTCAGTGTCAAATTAGTCATTAATTTTATCCTAAAAGTATAAAAACGAGAAGTTGCTAAATATGGCACTATCAAAGTTTTGCACAAGAGCTAATTCCAGAACAAATGAAAAATAACTGAGGCCACTGGCTTCAGCAGTTTCCTCGCACCTCTGTTGAAGCGCTTGGCGGGTGGGCTCTTTCAAACGCTCTCTGTCGGTCCTCTCCTCGATGTCCTCGATGCTTTTCAGCAGCTCCTCTTTCTGGTCTTGGAATGCTCTTTTCAATGCTGCCAGGGCATCGGCCTCACTCTGCTTTGTTCCCAGAAGGTTCTGGATCCTCTCTAATTCCAAGCAAAGGTGATCAGCTGTAGCTCTGCAGGAAGTCCTGTGCTCAGGACTTCCACATTTCAGATGGTATTGGGCTTTGGTAAGAATGCCGTCCAGACCGATGGCAGCAGATTCTAACGTTTTCACATCGCGAATAACATCACTTAATTCCTTTTCTAACAAATCAGTCTGTTTCTTATTCATGCTGTCGGTGGCTTCCACCGTTTGCCTCAGTCGGTGGAGAGCCTCTGACAGAGAGGTGTGGCTCTGCAGGAATCCGGCCAACTGGGACAGGGCCAGCTGCCGCTTCGCCACCACCTGGCGGGCCTCCTCAAACAGCTGGAAGCAGTCATCCGCTCTGCCTTGCAGGAGGTGACGGTCCTCGGCTCGACCCAGAGCACCCAGCTTTGTGAGGTGCCCCTGCAGACTTTGTAATTCCCCGCTTTTGCTTTCGACTTCTGCTGCGTGGTCCTGGAAGGGAAGAGAGAGTTACTGGTTCCTCAGATACGCTGTGGTGTATGACACAGATCTACGACAGAACTGGCGATGTCAAGATGCATTTTAAATGCAATGTGTGGTAGAGTATTTAAAGGTCATCCACAATGAATCTTTTAGAAACGTCCTTAAAATTTCTCTTTTTTGCTCATCTGTACATTTCATATAAAACACCACTCTGATTTGGAACTAATTTATTCCACGGAAAAGAATTCCTTCGTGGATAGAAATGGTTAACCTAATATGATCCTATTAACCAATGTCACTCCAATAAATTTAATAAAAATGTATATATACACAGATATACATATATATAAAATTTGAAAGAATTTAAAAGACATATGTACATACAGTTAAAAGTTATAGTTATAGTATATACAGTTAATAGAAATAGAAAACATGTAGTAAGATTTTAAAAGATGTTATATATACACATATATGTGTATATACCTACATACACACATACATATACATATGTATACGGTGAAGCTAATCTGACCTACTGAAGGAGTGTGGGAAGAGGCGGGCATGGGCCTCTCTTCAGAGGTGGTGATTAAGGCAGATGAAACCGTCTAAGTTTCACCTTCCTTTTCTTTAAACAAATGTAGATTCACTGGATAAGACTGTTGTATAGAAAATTTGACTAGCTTACAATAACTCATGTTTAAAATCTATCAGAGATTTGCTAACAATCTCAGCATGGTTCCCAGTAAAAGGAAATGATCACCTGTCTTCATCGTGACCACAGCGGCCTTAATATCTCCCTCAGCTGAGCTACTAAACTTTAGAGGGCTTCTGTGAGCATCTACTTCAGAAAACTCACACATTCATTCTCTGTCCCTTTGAGATGTAAATCTTTTGCAAAGCTCCTGGGCAGTTTTACAACCAAAGAATATCTTTCTCAAAACCCTGGGAGTCATCTCTGTGAAATGTGCTCCCCGAGGAAGACGGAGCCCTATCTCCTTCCTGTCTGGAGAGGGCGGGAGCCTAACTTTGGTGAGCACCTGGCTCCAAATTGTAAAGCCACCTTCGGTCATGAAGAAAGAAGAAAGTACTTTTCTTTTGGGTAAAATCAATCAGCAAGCCCAGCAAAGAGTGATCACTCAATAAACTAGTGTTTTATCATTAAATAGTTATAAGCTTATTATATAGCTTATCTCCAACTATTCCAATATTTGATGATCAATATCTGATTTTTTAATTGTCTTTTAATGCCAGGGTAAACATTATGCATAATTTAGAAATGAGAAAAATAAATTGTAAATTTTAAGTGGTTTTATCTGCTTAAGGTATCTGCATACCACATTGTGAAAACATTTATATAGCACTACAGTGTTAAACTGCTGGCAATTATAAAGTCGCTTCCCTTTATAATTCAAGAGCTCTCTTTTATACACAAAATTTTCTTCTCCCTTAAAAGAATACACTTTACCTTGTGCCGTGTTAAAGCTGCCTGGTGGTCCATTAAGCTTATCTCAGAAGTGGTTTGTAATTCACCCAGAAACTGCTTAATCCAGACAGAAAAGGAAAGCAGCAGTTCATCAAACTGCTGGTGTTCGGCGACCACAGACTGGAGAAAATGAATCCTAGGCGGAGACAGGTAGCGAAAGTTAGAATGTCTCTCAGCGAACGGAAGAGTTGGTATGCGTTTAGAACTGGTTTCACCAAGGGCGAATGTGATGTGGTCAAACAGGGGAAAATCAGAGCTCGATGCTTCTACTTCTCAAATCCAGTTTCTCTCACAATGTGCTGTGTCTAGGAAACTGTCAAACATCAATGATGAGAGTCATTGATCGGCTGCCTCATTGATCGGCTGCCTCCTGCACGCCCCCCACTGGGGACCGAGCCTGCAACTTGGGCATGTGCCCTGACAGGGAATTGAGCCTCAGTTTCCTAGGTCCTAGGTCGATGTTCAACTGCTGAGCCCTGCCAGCCAGGCGGTCCCCCATTTCTTTACCTCCACGCCTGATAAGCACATCTCTGGTCAGCACCTGCCATGGTATTCTGTGCTCGCCTCTCCACTCCTACAGCCTGGTCTCCATCTCCTCCTCACTGCCTGCCTGGCCTCCAACAGAGTCCAACACTGGCCTCCTTCCTGCTGTCACCGTTGTCTCACTATAATCCGCTCCAGAGGGCAGCCAGGAAGGACTGTAATGTAGTCAGAACACCCTCCGCCAAGCTGAAACACGGGGCAGCTTCCTGGTGTACACAGGCAGGCAAAGCTCCACAACTTGCTGTGGTCTGCAGGGAGGCCCACACGGCCCGCCTGTGACCTCATCTGGCCCAGCGCCTCCCACATTGCCACCGCCCTCTGCTTCCCCGGCGTCCCAGCTCGTGGCTGCCTGACAGCCTGGGCCCTTTCTCTTCCCTCTGCCCGTATGATTTGCCCCCAAAGCACCAGGAGTCTGCTTCCTGCACAACACTCAGATCTTCATCAGATCCATGCACCGTGGAGGCTCTGCTTGACCTACAGTCCCTGCCACGTTACCCTATGTCGTGTTCTTCACATCACTTACCACGGCCAAAACAGCCTTCTTCACTCATTCGTTTAATTATATATTGATCCTCTCCCCAGCCAGAGATAGGACTTCACCTGCCTTGCTTACTACGGTATCCCTAGGACCTAGAAAGGGGCTGGGGATACGTCAGGGATCAACCACTGCTTGTGTAATAAGTGAATCAGATTGATTAATAAACAGGTGATTGGAGGTCAGAATCCAAAACGGGCATGAAGAACAATACCTTAATCAAATATTAATATTCATTACAATGGTTTGTATCCAAAGTTCAATATTTTAAATGGACTTCCGTGTTTTAATCCTTACAAAATCTTCCACACATTATTTTTACGTGTATAAATTATAATTTGAATGTTTTCACACATTTGAATCATTTTTAAAAGCCCTTTACTTTCCTTCCGCGAGAGAGGCAGAGACAGATCCTCCTGTATTTTGCAGAAAATTACTCATCTCTCAAGAGTTGGCATCAAATCCTGTGTCAGCCTTTCCTGAACCCATTTAAATGTCCCTTCTTTTTGTTTCCATAATATTCTGTGCTCACCTCTCTCACTGGTTTTGTCCCCATGCTGATCTGTAAAATACTTGAGGTCAGGCTTTATTTATTTTTATGCTCCAGTATCTGATGTGGTGCCTGGTACTCAGCAGGTACCAAAAAAACATTTACTGATTGATTGAACAAACAATGGAGCGAACACAAATGCCACGAAAATAGAGAGAAACTCTGTTTATCATGGCTGTCCCCAGCAGCAGAAGAGTGCTCTATGCACCGTCAACCTCAATAAATGTTTGCTGAATGAATGGATCGAAAAAGTGACCTGAAAGGTTAAATGCCTGGGTAATCAATACCAGTTTAAGGCAAAAATTTGTTTTCTGGCATATTAGAAAGATACAGATGTAAACTGTTAATATCTAGTCAGTTAGGATTTAATTCATTTTTACCTCCATTTAACACAATAGTAATTTCCCTTGTTCTCTACAAAGGTCTGCACTGGAATGAAATGGAACATATATGTGTGTACATATCTATACCTATCTGTCTCTATAGATTGGTATAGATATATACTACCTCTTGTTTAGACATACCATGAGAAACAAAATTTTAATTACCATTTTTCTCCTGCACACAAACAGCTTAAGCAATAAATAATACAAACATGAACAAACCTACTCTCTTTAATATATTTCAACTAGTTTGATCATTTGCCCTGATTGTGAGACTAAAAGTTTGAATTGAGATTCATCAGAAATGCTAATGTTTGAGCTCTTTGATTTTTCAAATGGCAAATAAAGTGTTTTCTTTCTTTCTATAATTATCCTGTGAATAGTTTTGGGTTAAATAAAAGTAAACAAAACTATGCTTTCTTAACTTCTATGCTCACCATTTAAAAAAATAAACAATATTAGAATATTTTATTAAAAAACAACCTTTTGCTAAGTATCTGTGGCAAAACGCTCCATCTCTCATCCAGCTGTTCCAAATGCAGCTTCATCATCTTCACATCATCTTTGGTGGCCACTGAGAATAGTGATTCCTTCAACTGCAAAAGGTTGCTGTAGATTGAGGCCTGGGACACAACTTCACTTTGCAGAGCCTGAGAAACACAGAATATGTTACAGATCTCATCCCAACGTAATTGACAAGGAAGGACCATGTGACATAGGATGTTGTCCAAAGGCTCTGAATTCTTGCAAAATGGAGGTCACTGGGACTAAACTATAGAAAGCTTTTTATTCCTTGATTTAGAAATGGATCCACTTAATCTCTAAAGCAACATTTAATATGGGTGGGCATGCAATGCAACATACAGATCTGGTATCATAGAAATGTACATTTAAAACTTATATGATCCTATTAACCAATGTAACCCCAATAAATTTAAAAATAAATAAATAAAATAAAAGGCTACTGAAACCTGAATAATTTTTTCAGGGTCTAAGCTATATTAGGCAAATTTAAATGCTGTAGAATTTCTCTCAGGATGAAGAAACTCAGTAGGCAAGAATCAAAAGAAAACTATCACTAAAGAGAAAATGTAGCCCAGCCAGGAATGGCTCAGCAGTAGAGCATCGACCTAGGATCCAGGAGATCTTGGTTTGATTCCTGGTCAGGGCACATCCTCGGGTTACGGGCTCAATACCCGGTTGGGGGCATGCAGGAGGCAGCCGATCAATGATGACTCTCTCACCATTGATGTTTCTCTCTCGCTCTTCCTCTCCCATCCTCTCTCTGAAATCAATAAAGATATATTAAAAAAAAAAAAAGAGAGAGAGAAAATGTATGCTTAACAATCACAGAGATGCAATTCTAGGTAATGGGAACATGGTCCCCCTTTCTGTTTAAAGACAGTATCAGGCCAAATCAGAGAACTTAAGGGCTCTTTATTTTACTTTCATGCAACAGAACCATTCATATTTTATAATCAGGCAATAAATCTTTTAGGTGCTGTGAGGGGTGCATAAAAGTTGTGGTTCCTACCTAATAAGAGATAAACACTCGTATAGATAGCTAACAAAACATGTTGCTAACTGGGAGGACAGGTGTAGCATGGCACATAGTAGGTGTTTTTTCCCCTCTCTAGTGAGGACACATGTGTGATACAAGCACATTGCTAAGGGTATCAGAGGAAGGAGAACAGAGCCAATGGATGACACAGGAGACCACAAAGCAGAATTTGGACGTGGGCTGAGTAGGACAAAGGACACAAGGTCAGGAGGTGGGAATGTACAAGGAATGTCTGGACCACAGTGGGGCAGCAGCTTGGCTGACTCAGTGCCTGGAGGTGGGGGTAACAGAGGCCTGCAGCCCCCTCAGTCCTCTAACAATACGGCACTTATTTCCCATGTAGACACCTGAGGGATACAGTTTTATGTCCCTGGAGGGCTTTGTGTCATTTTTAAGAAAAGGAGCTGTGACTTCCTCTCTTAGAACACCTCACACTGTAATCAGAAGAAGACAACCCCAGGCTGTGGACTCAGGACTACCCTTTCTCCTCAGCGCAGGACGGCCGCTGAGGTTTCTGAGCAGGGACCTTTCAGGTGATTAATGTGTAATAAACTAGAAAGGCAGGAGAAGCAGTTCGTTGTGGGGACCCTTCCAAGTCAAGGAAGGTGGGGTATTGGTTCAGATGTTATAGACCCTCTCTGATGGAGTTTTTATTAGAGAAGTTATGAAAAGTTAAAGAACTGGGCTTCTATGTCAGCGTTTTACAAACGGTGATGGAAAAAAGCTGGGGCATAAATCTGTCATGTGAGAAGTCTCTCTGGAGAAGAAATCTTGCCTGTCGAATTTTCTGGCACAGACAGCAACCCTTAAAGCAAGTAATTAATCTCCAGAAATTGGTCACATTGTCCATAGTTTCAATAATACTTAAGGATTCTTTTAACTTTAAAAAGTTGGCTTCTTTAGGGATGTAATCAGCTCATACTCTTTGTCCTTCTGTCATTTGCTCATTCACGTTTTCTGTATTACGTAAAAAGAATCGTTACTGTGACTTCATTCTACACGGCATTCCTCCTCTCTTTCTAAGAAAAACCCTTTTTATCAGAATTGTTTCATCAGTGTTTCCACTCACTCCTCCCTCTGCTCACCTGCCAGACAATCTGTATCCAAATCCAAGCATTCTATTAGAGGGTTTTCTAATGCCTCCCATAATCGATCATCCCATCACCAAGTTCACCATTACTCTGTCTTTCCAGTCCGGGCTGTTCTTTTGGGGATCACAAAGCCAAAGCAAGAAGCTGGGTTGGACAGGGGGTTTTGTGTGGCTTTGGTCTATCCTGCAGCCGTAACAAGGGGCACCGGCTCCCCCCGCGCTTCCTTGAACTTGCCTGTAGCAGCTGCAGTTCACTCTCCGCCTTGGCTCTGTCGGCAGCAGTGTCCGTTTCTGGGGAACTGGCGATGGCCTCGCACCGCTCCAACCAGGTCAAAAAGCTCGACAGTTCTTTCTCCAGCCTGAAGAGAGCAGAGACGCGAAACAAATTCATCCAAAATTATCACACTGGGCGCAAGGCCTCTCTGAAGTCAGAGGGCCTGACGCTAACCGTGCCCAATAATCCAACTCTGGTTATCGCACTCCTGAAAGCGAGGGTAGAAACACCACTCCTTCCGTGCTCCTCACACGGGCTCGCACACGTGTCTATATGTGCGTAATATGGAAGAACGCACGCCCATCCTTTCCACGCCCGTGTTAGAAACCCACTGTCACGTCTTGCACCTGGGTTGGTTGCTGACCATCCCCCAGAGAGCAGCCGGCCCGAGATTCCTAGTTAAGGGTGGCTTTCCAACCCGGGCGCCAGCTCGAGAGGAAGGCTGCCCACCTCTGCCAGTGCGCCAGCAGCTGCTCCAGCGCCGCCTGTCTGTCCTTCGCCCGGCCGCGCAGCCCCTCGTAGCTCTGCTGCAGGGCTGCGGCCTCCTGGGCACAGCAATCCCTGCCCGCGACCTTCTGGGCACAGGCCGAGAGGGCGGCCAAGGCGCCGGCCAGCGACTCCAGGGCCTGGCAGAGATCCTGGGGAGAGGACAAGGGAGGGGCAATGAGCACACACCATCGGGAAACTGGCCACCCTGCCCCAGGGAAGCTGCGGCGCAGAGCGTTAGAACACCACGCACTCCTCCTTAACAAGTCCATCACTCGGGAAAGTTATTACTCACTCTGTGCCAAATGTACTTTTAAACTCTAGTCCTGCTTTACTGGAGCTACATGTAACAGGCAACGATCTCCATAAAAATACAGGGAAGGGGAATGGCTCCGGCTCGGCGGGCACAGCTGCTATCAGGAATCAGTGATAACGACGACAAAGTGCCTCAGAACATGGCAGGGCCTGTGCTGGGCGCACCCAATACCAACTCTTCGATCTCCATAAAACCCTTAAGAGTTACATCCTTTCACTAGACCCATTTTACGGATCAGAAAACCAAGATGGGGGAAAATAACTGGCTTTACATATCTAAATATTAGAAAAAATAGAATATTACCCTCCCCGGTACTCAATGACTAATGTTGTTGTCTATTACAATAACCCCATGAAATTCCATTATCTTAATTGTCCTCATGTTGGGGGCATTTTTAAAAATTGCATAAGTAACACAAAAACGCATTCTTATTATAAGAATTCCAATGACGTAAGTTCCACTGCCCTTCCCAGATGTGCCTTTGTCGGTTGTTTGCTTTCTAACCCTGCAGCGCCTTTCTCTGCATTTATGTCTGTGTGCGTACACATGCACATGCAGTAGGGATAACATATGTTTCTCGGTTTATTAATTAACACATGTTTCTCTTTACTATGTCTTTGTGCCTGATTCTCCCCCTTTGCTCCTTCCCCTAAATTCTTCCAGAAGCAAGTCTGTTCTTTTGCAAAACACCTCACAACGGTCACCAGTTCAGGGACCAGACCAAAAAACGTAGTAACCAGGAAAGGTCTGTGAGGACATATTCTTTGCACATTTGAATGTAGTGGGTTAAAATCTGAAATCTGCTCTGCATATGTATTTTTTTTGCACATTTAATTTTTGTAATGGCAGTAAGAGGTAATGGGATTTATTAAATCTATAATATGAAAAGGTTACATGTTCTAATTAAGAGAGAGAAATACATTTTAAATCAATACTTCAACATACATTTTTAATGAAAACTTACTTGTGTGCTTATATTTCTTGTGTTATATAAAGTCAATATGCTTGATCTATATCATTCGCACATAACACAAACATTTAAAAAATTTTAACTGTCAAAACATATCTACTATATTTCCTTTTCAAGCAGGAATGATCAAGTTTGAGTTGATAAGTAAGCAGAAATGTTGAAGCATACTCTTACCATATGTTCTTGGAGAGCTTTATATGTTTCTGTAGCTGACGAACATATTTTAATTGGATCAGCAAGTTTATCTTCAAATTCAGACACAGACTGCTGGATCTAAAATACCAGTGAAATACAAAAATAATAGTGGGGAAGATATACACAAAGCAGGAAAAGTTATTGGGGAAGCAGCATGCCTATCATTTTCGGATAACTTTCAATGTGTTGATAAAATAGATTTTTTTAAAAAAATCGAAAATGAATGTATCCTATTATTTGAAAGAAATACAAATAAATCTTAACGCCTATCTGAACACAATGTATAATGACATTTTTCTATTCCCTCAAAAAATGTACCATATAAATAGTTATAAACATAAGCATCATTGACAACTTGGTAAATAACTGGCAAATTATGTCATTTCCTTATTCCACTATTTCTGCACTCTTTGCTGCATTTCACTATAAATGCAATGTGAAATAGGTAAATGCAGCAGGCATGGACCAGTCCGTACCTGTCTAAGATTCTCTTCAAACTTCTGCTGCTGAGATAAATGTGCCAGGATCGTTCCCTCCAGACCCTGGGCGTGCTCTCGAAGCTCTTCCCAGTATCTTCTTAGTTGTGTCAACTTGGCTTTGATTCGAGCAGATTCTCCCGTGGTAATAAACTGGGCAAAAGACTGAGCTGCTTCTTCTAGTTCTGTGATGCTGCCGACCTTACTTTCTATTTCCTGAATTGTGACCTGATATTTAAAACAGGGAAAATGACAATGTAGGCTGAGCACGCTTGCCTTCCTGAAATGATACAAATACTGCAGAGAGAGAAAACGGACATTCCCATGTACTTGGGTTGTTAGAGAGTAGCTATGCAAAGCCCCATGTGCTTCCTGACCTCATTTTTGGAGGATCCATAGGCGGACAGTGTCTGAAGTCTACGTTGGTGACCATGCCCACTGGATGGAGAATAGAGAGAAATAGCTACTGCTGCTTGCAGTGACTTGAGCAGGGGGATGTCCCTGGAACTCTTACAGTCTCTCGGAAGGTACCTAGAATTCCCCGCTTACCCTACGAGTCAAGCGTTTTAAGCAACTGATCTGGGAGGCAGTGTGTTCCAATAACTCACAAGAGTGCTGATATTAACATCTAATTAAATTTCCTAAAATGTAGTTGAGTATTTCATATTTTACCCAACTACAAGCTTATCTAATTCCACTCCTACCTAAACCCAGTCTTTTCACATTTATCATCTACTCTTTATGCCAGGGTATTCCAAATATGGAATACATTAAGATCACTTGGCCCCCATCCTCGGTGACTCAGACTCAGTAGGTCCAATGCGGGCCAAGTCTTTGTGAGCCTAACAACTTCTGAGGTGAAGCCTCTCCTGCTGATCCTCGCCCCCCTCTATTGCCACTGCTTTATTCATTAGCTGTGGACTCTACAGTAAAGAGCCTGCTTGCTGTAATTTCCACTGGGGGCATTTTATATATTAACCAGCACGTGGAAAGTACTGAAAGCCACCAAGGATGTGCGTGCATATGTGACTGGGAGTGTGCATCTGTCTCTCATGAACATACTGGCTCATTTATGTTGAAGAAAATGAAAATGATTTCTCTGACAAAAAGAGCCAAATCATCCAAACAAAAAAAGCCAAAAATTCAGACAAGTCTGTTCCAAATAATTTAAATGGAAAGGACTGTTACCTTAGAAAAAAGATAAATGTGACTTCTGTCTAGATGAGACAACATAGTCAGAAATAATTTTTGCCTAGATGAGACAACTGGAAATAACTCACACCAGATTAGTGCGAGTGGATCACTTACTGTACTTTTCATATGCATGACTACATATTTGATATCTTTGATAGGTATGTGTTGTTTGGGAATTAATATAATACAATCTTCATTAGTTTTGCTATTTTTTAAATGATACATTTTAGAAAAATTACTCATAAATTTAACAACTACATATTCAGTGTCTCCTTTGTGCCAATAATCGCCATAGGTGCTTGCAACACCTCAACGAACAATTTTAGTTAACATCAAAAAGTTGTTAGTTCTTAGTGTGATATGCATCATCAGTAAATTCATAAATGCAAACTCTATGATCACATAGCTGGATTGTGGCAAACATTTTTCTAATCCAGGCCAAGAAGATGGAAGATGAGCCCAGCGTATGTTCTTATCCCTTGTAAATGATCAATTAGGAATAAGAAATCAGTCCATTCGGAACAGCGTGTGGTGAAGAACAAAGAGGGGCTTATACATAAATATCTTCACAGCAACGCAAGTGCTGTGAGCTGGCTTTATCCTAAGGTTGTTTGCAACTGAAAACATCCTGACAAGTACTGCCACATTTTTAGTGTTTCCTGTAATTCAATTCCGTATGGAAATGGAACCTATCAGCCCAGATTCCATGTAAACTGCACCCCACTCTATCTTTGCTTATTTCTAGCAAATGTTTTCTTGCTCTTCATATTTGTTTAATCATTTTTAGATAGTTTTCAAAATGTTGTGTTGGAATATTAATGTATTTCTAGGCTGATGGCATAAAAATCCACAATTGAATATATATATTTATATATATTACATATTATGTAATTGTTTTTCATTCCTAAAGAGCAACAATGCAATGACATTTGATAAGTGATATACTTCAGAAGTCCTGGAACTAAGGTTAAATAAGAGTGAAAAGTATTAACAGAAAGCATGAGCAAATTAATAAATGTATGTCCAAATTTTTGAAAAAAATTGAAACAAACCTATTTAAGCGTGCTATTTGTTTTCTTAGAATTTAGCAAAAATGATTAAATGACAACTGTTCAAAAATAGTTTTAGAGATTAAGTGTATTTCATGAATATTCTTAAAGGCTTGACATGTTTTTCCTGATAGAAACACAAGCCATACGCAGGCTGTGCGTACCAGGCTCCCTGTAGCCTCGGTTTTGAAAGAGCCGTGATAAACCAGGGAGATCTGCACAGCACGAGATTCGAGCTGAGCCATGCTGCACCTCCCACCTCTCATGGCAATTTGCTCTGAGTCACAATGTGAAATGCTCCCTCACCCAGGCATTCATTTTACTGTATTTAATTGCATGAAAGGTCAGAGGGCTTTCCCATTCCAATAAAATGGGCCGAGATAGAAAAAGAAGTGGCTGAATTTTTTAAATGTCTTGTGTAAAAATGATACACAAAGAAAGGAGAAACAAACACAATTCATTTCTTTCAGCCCACCTTTTCTTAAACTACCTGAATGAAGGGGACAGTGAGAGTCTGTGCACGCGGTTATTCTGGAGTTGGGGCACTCAGGTATCTCAGAACCTTAGTCCACACCCTGAAGGGTGTCGCAAGTGCAAGAACTGGGGCAATGGGGTCTGATTGCTTCACCTATGGAAAGTAATTTCTCCCCCTGTGCTTTGTGAGGGTAAAGAGCACTAATGCTTGAACTAGACATCGGGATAATTCTGTAAGCGCAGTTACAGGCGATGGCTACGGTCTGCATAAATGAGTCAACAGAGCACTCCAACGGGGTTAATTCAAAATCCAGGAAAAGAATAATTAACCATAAAATCATTTTAATGGTATTGCACACAATATTGACTTTGAATGCTTAAGTCAGACAATATTAACACATAATTCCATCTATAAACCATTGCCCGGTGTCAATCAAGACCTCTTAGCTCAGCAATTGGTGTGAATTTAATTTTAATAGAGTCACACAGCAATGAAAGACTTGTCCTGGGGCCAAATAGCATTTGGTGAAATGTAAGAAGGAGTTGTTAGAAGCTAGACATGGATTATAAATGCAACAAACATGTGAGCAGGTCACCTTAATTTGGCTGATTTGCATGTCCATGGCAGATGGCGACGTCTCCAAGGCATCGAGTTCTTTTTCTTTCTCAGTTATCCAGACGGACAGGGTCTCAAAATTATTGCCAAAATGATCCCACTTGTTTTTCACCATTTCCATGGTTTTAATACTAAAATTAACCAAATTAAGTAAATAAAATACAGCATTTTAATTAAGAACAACAAACATTTTCCTTTAAATCGCCAGGTGAAAAGATAGGTAAGATATTGGTGATCGTGCCAAAGTTGAAACTATTAGAGTAGAGGGGGAAATGCACATTTGATGGGACTAGTTTGTCCAGTTCTCGCCTTCCTATCTCCTCTGAGGGCGAGCATTTAACGAGATAGCATCTACATGTGTTAGGAATGGAATTGTGCTTTGAACAAAATATGGCTGGGCCCAAAGGGGTTTGAATCCAGGTCTAATCTAGTTAAACTGCCTGTGACCCTTAGCTGCCAGGATGTGTTTAAATAAACTGCCTGCATACATTCCAGTGCATACATGTTTTATAGTCCTACTTTTGTGGACATGGTCCTCTTGCTCTTATTGGAGAGATACTACAGTGATGCTTTCTGCTCCAGGATCCTTAAAATGCATCTTTATGAGTTAAGATAGAACTTGTAACTTGAATTCCATGTGGACAGGCAGGAACTGCTCTGTCATTAGAGCTAAGCCTCCGACCTATAATCTACAGCAACTTCAGCTATTCTCACATGCCTGTATGGTCTTGATTCCAAAATACTTCTATAAATCCTTGTACATGAGCACCCAAACTGCTTTTAGGCTATTTGGGCTTTATTTGTAATAAATCTAGTGATCAAAACTTTAGCTATAGATTTCTGGTTTGTATTAGCTATGCATATATATCCATGTCATTATGGCTTTCAGTTTGGAAAAGAGTAAGAAACTTAAAGTCTATCATTGCACTGATAAATTCTTTGCTTAAAAAAAAAAAAAAAGTGAAAGAATTTTCCTCTTTACCAAAAGGCACTTGAAGACATTAAGAAAAATACAATGGCATCACTGATTGTCAAATTAAATAATATTGCAGTCTCAAAGGCATACCCTGGATGTGCCTAATGCGCTCATCAGTACAGGTAACGCAAGCTACATTATATTGCAAGTTTCCAAATAAAATAAAGACTGATTCAAACAGATATTCCTCATAAAAGTAGCTTTCCTCCCAATAAACTCTAAATGTTACTATTTCTATACCTTGATGAGTAATATTGAATAGTTAACATTTTCAAAGTTTAGAGTCATAATCTCCTTTAAATAAACTATTTAACAAACTTCTAAGTTTAGGCAATGCACAGTCTTAATTTCAAGGTGTTAAGAGTATAAAAACAAGTTTTACATTTCAAAATCCATTTTAGAAATTATGTCTTATACCTTAAGAATGTGTCAGCGATTTGCCACTAAATAACTTTTGAAATAGGAATGTTCAGCCATATTATTTTGAGGAAAATGGCCATATTCTCATGTCTTTTCCCTCCAATTTTTTTTTTTGGGGGTGTATATTTTGTACATATCAGGATATCATAGGCCAAACCATTCTTTCTTCCTTTTTAGGTGAACAAATATTAAGTATTTAAAAATAAAATAGATTTTTGAAGTTAATTTTTGGAAACAGAATATCAGTCAGCAGAATCTGAATACTGAGGCACTGTTACCGAGCTCTGTGAGCTTGGAGATGAAGACATTTGGACTACATTACATGTACTGAGGCCCAGAACCTACACGGCCGAAACATCTCCTCTTCCCTCTCAAAATGATTTTCAATATTGGTTCTCGTTTGAGATCCCCTCTCCAGTGTACGAAGGCCACAGAATGTAATAGATATGGCTTTTTCAACAAACAGAATCAGTTTCCGATGCAACACCCACATCCCTGCATTTTCCTGCTCTGTTCTGGATGTTGGCCTCTGTGTTGCTGGTCCTTCCTTCTGAACTGTGAGTTGTCCCCTCAAAACATGCTGCACTACACAGACACTGTGAGCTGTTAAAAGAATACAATGTACAGGAAAGACTGTATGAACTTTATCTCAGAGACGGAAGCTTAGGACTTGTCAAGCACATACTCTTCTTCGAGTGTGGCTTCTAATTTTGTGACTTGCTCTTTGATGGACTTGGCCTGCTGCTGAAGCAGCCGCTTATTCTTGGGCCCGAGCGGTATCTCTGAAGCTTCCTTCACAAGATTCTCAGCCTGGACCGCGATGTCCTCTGTTCGCTTGGAAAACTCCTAGAAAAATGTAACATAATTGTTAGGAGGGCATCTTTTATTAAACTCCACCCTCAGATAAACTGCATATGTGGACTGCAGAGTCTCCCACAGATTGCGTGGATGGACAGATTCATACATGTATGAACATTAGCATGTAATATGCTGAGCAATAAAACAGACGTGTTTTCATCAGGGCTAGAATAGACTTCGCTCAATTATTTTCATTTTATATACACAACCACACATATGCCTTCACAGTTATCCAGCAATTCTCACAAAAATGTTTTTCCACTGTTTCCTGCTGTGGGTTTACTGTTTAGAATTCTGAGTTGCATTATAATAATTAACTTATCCGCAAATATGTTAGATTATAGGCCAGTTCAGGAAATGATCAATAGTGATTAATTTTTTCAATCATAGAGATAATAAATGCCCAGGGCAATAAATATAAAAATTTGTTTATTTAATTGAAGACTATCTGGGTCAATACAGAGTACCACTGTTATTTACTATAAAGAAACATTTTGTTAACTAGTGCTCTGAAAAGAGGTATAATATGATGTTAATGCTGTTAAACTCATTTTCTATTTATCCACATACTACATGATGGAAAGAAGAGACGATTTTGAACCAGTCACACCTGGACTAGAATCCTGGCTTTGCTCATTACCAGCTGTTGGACTTTGGAGAATTACTTTTCAGACTCTGGCTCTTTCGTATGAAATGCCGCGATGCTCTTCTTGTAGTTTATTGTCAGCATTTAATCAGTAACTTCATTTTTAAGTGCTTGGCACTCTGGCAAGTACCTCCTATAATTTTATGTCCCACATGTGAAATTGAGGACAAAATAATTTATAAAGTCCACACAATGATTTTCAGTAATGGTGAACTACCTTAATTTGAAAATTAATGTAATATATTTGAGGCACTGGTAAATTTTAGCTGTTAATTTTGTCAGGTAAATATATTGAATACTGAATTAAAAATGTAAACCAAGGGATAATCTTGAGTGAAAAAAATTAACTAGTGTTTATTTTTGTTCCTTCTCATTGTGTTTAAATTTTCATCACAAACAACCATCTATGAAGTACGTAATGTAGAAATCCAATGTAAATAATTTTTTAGAATCAGACTCCTAATAGCCCTCTTTTCCCAGAGCATCTCCTAGAATTATCACATAATGCCATATAGGGTTACTACATAATCCTATTATAACGTCAAGTTTAAAAGATTTAATGTCCTCACAGAAATATCAACATTATTAGAGAGAAATACCCTGCAATTTAAGAAATTAAAAATGAATAAGTACAGCTTCGTTACGGTAGAGAGGTTTACAATATCCTAAAATACGGGCTTTGCTAATGTCACAGCTTTAAATTCTGAGCTTGTAAGCACCCACAATGGCTACATGTGAGCTTACAGTCATTGTGGATTCAATTGTGAAGACTAAATTCACAGCATAATCTTTCAGAGTCCCATAAATAGAGTCAGAAGTATAAAATAGTATTTTTTCCCTTAGTGTTTCCCAGAACCAAGGAAAAACCATGGAGAAAGTAGAATTATGTTTGAAATTGTTTATATACATTCAATGTGTACGGGGCAAGCACAATGCAAAGGAATTCAAAGAACAGAATGGTGTCGATAAAGGGCAAATTAAACAGAAATGGAATAACACTGTAAGGCTTTATCTCTACATCTAAGAAGGCGACATGAGTGGCAGCAGGAATCAGCAGGAAAGCACGGACTCTGGCGTCAGATAGGCCTGGAGTGGGAGCCAGGCTCTGTCCTTCGCTAGCTGTGTGACCTTGAGCCATATAACTGAATTTTCCGACACTCGTCAGCAACGCCTTGTTGTGAAGATTAAACGTGATAGTGCCACAAACGCCCTCACATACTGGCAGGCAGACGGCGCTCGCGTTCCCGAGCACAGCCACTCCAGGGCCACGGCTGGAATGAAGGCTGCATTAGCAATGGCAGGTGAGCAAAGAAACGAGAACAATGACTCCAGCTTAAACGTGCCTGTGGAGCAGCGCATGTCAACAGTTAATAAAAGGGCCCGGTTTTGTAATGAAAGCATAATATAGCAGCTAAGGGAATGGGCTCTGGACTCAGACCTCTTGGGTGTGAATCCCAGCCTCACCAGTTAGCAAACCTAAAATCTTGAACAAATTCATTAATAACGATGTACCTTAGTTTTCCTCATTTATATGACAGGATTAACAGTGGTACCTATTCTTTAGAACTGTTTGGGTAGAATTAAAGGAGATGATAAACATCAAGTGATTAGACCAGCCTTTAGTATATGTTCAGTAAATGTTAGCTGACATTATTAAGCCAATCCCAAAGTAGGCGAGATCATTGGCTAAGGATAATTTTAATAATAAGACTAGAAAGGTTATATTTGTTGCATTTGTAGCTGAGAAACCAATTCAAAGGAATTAGATAGAGCCACAGAAATGCTGCGTGGAATCTGGGTGGAAGCCCCATGTGATAACCCAATAACTATAGTTGTATTTATTAAAATGGTGATATATTTTAATATAGAAAATAATTAAAATCATACAGAATTGAAAGATTCTGTGGCCTTATAAAACTTCAAATTCCTCAGTTAGTTACTAATAGGAGAAGTAATTGGAAGTTAGCAGTATGAAACTGAGCAGTATTCAAAACACCAAGAAGCCTTTCACTGGTAAGAAAATAGAAACATAAAGATTTACTTGCTAAAGGCATAAAAGGACAGATAAAATAGTCCTCTTTCTCATACATTGGCTAACACATTTTTATACTAATTCAGTCTCTTTATAAACCCAAAACACAGAACCAGAAGCCAAAATAACCTGTGCAAGTCTCTAAATGCGTTGTATAAATTTATTGATCTGCCCCTGGTGTCCAAGGCGCTTAGCATACAGGCTGGTGCTCAGTGAGGGTTACCACTAAATACCATCTCTTGGATGC